GTACATGGGGTAGAGTACATGTTGGTGGATACCACAATGTAAAAGGTGTTTCTACCCTTCATACACCAATTAAGATGAGTTCTACCAAATTAAAAAAAAATGTGTAAAAATGCCAACTAAATCCAGAAAACCCAGACAGACCAAATTGGGACAGAATGTCTGGAAAAGCTTTTCTACTGTCATAAGAATTTTTAGATATATTACTTAAAATAAACAGAAATAGGCCAGGCGTGGTGGCCCATGTCTGTAATCCCAGCACTCAGGAGGCTGAGGCAGGAGGATCGTTGTGAGTTGGAGAGCAGCATGGGCTACAAAGTGAGCTCACGCTAGCCTGAACTGCATAGCGATACCCTGTCTCAAAAACACAAAAAGCAAAAAAAAAAAACAAACCAAAAAATAAACAGAAATCTAACAGGTGTGATGCAAGGCTGAATGGGCAAACACAAAACGGCTGTCGGGGTTACCGTGAACACTTCTGCAGCTCAGCATGAAAGACTTCAAAAACATCCCTTCTTTATACATCTGGTACCCTGTGTTTCTCTGATGCTTTATCAAGGGTGGTAGGCAATTCCCTGCTCTATATGAGAAGCATGTGAAATAGTTTACTTTCGCTTAGGTATACTTTTGTTCCAGAAGTTATTTCCTTCTCTTTAAGTTCAAACGCTCTGTTCTACAGAAACTTCAAAGACTCCAGGACAGGATATGGCACCATACACATATACCTGATAAATATTTATTTGCTCTAGTGTTTATTGTTTTGGAGCCACTTAACAGGGATCTCTCCCTTCAGATCTTGGTGCCTCTACAAAGCTGGAGCCCAAGGGGGGCTGCATGCTGTGGGCTCATGATACGATGACAATGAGGGTGCATTTCTGTTTGTGAACCTTCTCTTCAATGCCTCCATCTAATTTCAGATTCCAGCCAGAAACACTAGAGCTGGGCTCATGGACTTTTGGGGAAATGAAGGCAAGAACTGTCCTCATTTTCTGCACCAAGTAGCCCTCATCTGTCCACGAGAGGCTGGGATGCACAAGGCACTCAAGCATTAACTCACATAACCTCAACGTAGCTGAAGGTAGTAGGTGTTATTATTAACCTCATTTCACAACAGATAAGGCAACTGAGGCGCAAAGAGGCTAAAAGACTTGTCTGTGTAGAGCTAGTAAGTGGTACAGCTGGGATTTAAACCCAGGTGGCTGACTTTAGTGCTTGTTCTTAATCGTGACCCCAGCTGTCTGCTCTTATCGGTCTTATTCAGTTATTCTCCTCAGTGGTAGAGGGAATGGCCAAGGGTTAAAAGCTTTTTTTTTCCTTTTTAAATTACACAGTTATTTTTTTTTCCTCTTCAGTGTCCAGTTAGGGCGAGAAACCTTTGTTAACTCAGATTCTTGCCTATGGGAAAGAGTTAGAGGCACAGTAAACTGCCACAGTCAGCATTTCAAAGAACCGATTCACAATTCCGTCCTCTGATTGTGCAATAGCTAGTTAATACCGGATCCCAGTCTCCAATTGGTTTCTCTGCACCTAGGCAAGAAACATGTTTTCTGTGGCTTGAGAGGCGTCATCACACTGGTACCGATCAGTCCATCCTTCCTCTTCCCGTGACGGGAAAGCAAACACTGTCTGCTACTGAGAAAATGCGCATGGGGCAGGGGTGGAGGGGGGGCTAGAAAACCACGCAACAGATAAAATCCCAAAGAGGCCTGCCATGGACCTGGCGGCCACTGGGCAACAGGCAAGATAGCAGCCCAAGCCATTCTGGCTGCGAGTGTGGGCGGGAGCCCTGGACCAGCAATTGTCTTTACCTGCTTCCTATGCAGTTAAGACTCTAGTTCTTCATCTGAAAACTACGAACTTTAGAGCCCAAAGGGATGCATGTTAGAAGCCAACTGTCTCAGTCCTTCAATTTACAACTGAAATAAAATGAGACCATCAGCATGTGGAGCAGGGGCAAAAGAAACTGGAAGGTCGGTGGGGACTGCTAAGGATCAAGAAGTCCTACAATGGCTAGTTTCCTGATAACCTGTTCTCTTTGATGCCTAAACCATTTCAATTTGGATAGGAAGTCAGAAGCCAATCAGTGTGGTCACACAGAGTTCTGAAAGTCCTGGTTTTTTGGTCTTTTTGAGACAGGGTCTCGCTATGCAATTCAGGCTGGCCATGAGCTCACTTTGTAGCCCAGGCTGGTCTTGAACTTGTAATGATCCTCCTGACTCAGCCTCCCGAGTGCTGGGATTACAGGTGTGCGCCATCACGCCCAGCTGTTCTGGGTTCTTGAGCCTGGAGCTCTGGGCCGCTCAGGAGGAAACTGATTCTCCCACCTGCCACCTGCTCTGTGCCATTGCTCCTCAGCGGCTCCTCACCCCAGGTCCTTGTTCTGCACTGTTATTTAGCATCCATTGTGTTGAGACAGGAAACCACTCAGAAATCACATTCTTAATTAAACAAAACCACACACAATGAACACCTACTAGCTTCATCTGTGTCTGACCTGTAGTTTTTTGTCTTTAAAAGATAAACTAGAAAGCACAGCAGAAGAACCGTGTGGGAATTGTGGGACATTCCGCCACAAGGAAAGGCATAGACTTGAACATAAGGCTTTGGTGGCAACTATGTCAAACCATCAGAGACTTCCCCATTCTTCCAGGTGTTACCAGGCAAAAGGGCCTGCAGGCGCTCAGGCATTAACTCATATAATCTTCAAAGCAATCTCGGTCCATCCACACCCTGTCCCATTCACATGCCGACAGGCCAAAGAGCATGCCCAGAGTTACATGTATTTGGCATCCATGAAGTTTTGAAGGAAGCAATTTTAAAATATTGCCCCAAAGAATTCCCAGACAAGGAAGCATTTCCAGGTGGCATAGTTTCATGCAACCCAGCCTGAGCAGGTACAGTACATGCACACTTTTCTTCACACAAGAGGTTCAGCCTCAGCTAGTGGTTGGAGGAAATGGACATCTTCCTGGACCCAGCTGTAGCTTCCCTGGCTCCTCTTTTGGCCCAAAGTAAATATCTCTGAGATAGTGACATTAGACCAGGAATGAGACATCATTACTATAACATGCTGCCCTGGGGCAAAAGAAAATACGAGAAATAGCCCTGAATTTTCAGGGCAGGAGACCCATAGTCCTCCTAATCCCTCCTTTGATAAACTACTGTGACCCTGAGCAAATCACTTAATCTCTCTATGCCTCGTTTCCTCAGCTGTAAAGCAGGATCATACAACCTGTCCTGCTGGAAGCAAACGAAACACTACCTATCCTAACAAGCTATGACATGGCCTCTGGTAGCTCTCCCATGGAGGTGTGGCCGGAGTCCCTGAGAAGGTATATCTGCACTGACTGCTAAGCTGCGACACTCACTGGCTCACTGTTCACTTCAGGAGCTTGATCTAAAACCAGGAAACAGAAGTCCTTCCTGGGGCTGGTGGTCCAAGGCATCTGTCTCTGCTTCAGCCCCAGGTCCCATTTTTTGGCTGCTGTCCCTCTCTTAGAACACTACTGAGGCTTCCTATGAATTAGCATCATCAGTGTACCAGAGCTGAACAACACACACTCCTTTCTTGGGACACAGATTTCCTGGAAAAAAAAAAAAAAGGAATTCTTGAACCGCATAGTTATCTTTTCTCCCTGTATGACTTGACTGATGCCTGAAAGTAAGAAGCCAAAGATGCTTTTGCTTCAATACCCACTAAAAGCCCTCAAACTTTAAAAATCTCTACAAACTGTAAATATCAAGTTGCCAGAGAACAGAAGCTACAGGCTACCCTTACTGCCCTTTTGGCAAGAACTTTTGGTCTTTCTCATCAGGTTGTTTGTTTTGAGACAGGGTCTTGCTATGTAGCACAGGCTAGTTTTGAACTCACTTACATAACCCAGGCTGGCTTCAAACTCACAGCAATCCTCCTGCCTCAGCCTCCCAGGCACTGAGATTATAGGCATGCACCACCACCCCTGGCTTTTTTCTTTTTTAATACAGATGTCCTGGATTTTTGTTGTTGCTTTAGATAAACAACCTCTTAAATGGCAGACAGTCATCACATTTTCCAGATGGAGAAATGGAAACAGCAGGAAGGCAAGTCAGTCTGCCCAGAGTTTGCTGCTTTTCATAGACTCAGTAATGATGAGTTTTGGCTCAATAACTCAAGACAACATACCTTGAAGGCTCAAAATCCAGAATTAGCAGAAACCTGGAGGGGGAGCCAGCTGGACTCCTCACTCAACTGAACCTGGTTAGATCACTAAATGCCTGCAGGCTGCTGTTTCTCCAGCTGTGAACTTTGGATTAACAGAGAAGCCAAAAGAGGTGAGGCTTTGGAAACTACATTATATCACCTCACAGGATGAAACGAGCAAGTCAAGCCAAGTGAAGGTGGTCTCCCCACCCTCGGGAACTCAGCCTTTCCACAAACAAAGCTCCTTGGAAACTTACAATACCCGCCGCGGTCCTGACCGGGGTAGACAGCAATCTATCCCAAGTCCCCAAGAGAGGCTGTTAATGGCCAACGAGCCCACATAACTAATGCCACCCTTACCATCCATAGGTCCATGGACAACCCTTCAGAAAATTACCAGCTTCCTTCAAAGCCCAAAGGTTGAATTAGGCGAAATTTAATCCATGTTCCCAGGACTTTTGGGCACTGTGGGGAGAAAATGGGATGAAGATACCCGGGTCGTAATGGAATTTTTTTCTTTACGATAAGCGCAGACCTGAGAGTATAGGGAGTAAAGTACAGGTAGGATAGCCTTCCGCCCTAACACACACCCACCTAACGGTAAGACTGATGTCCCTGCTCCGCGAGACCCACTGGTGCGCTCCAGCTGTTTGCAAACATGTAGTCAGCACGCAAAGACTCCAGACGTTACTTTGATAGTAAAAATGTTAAGGGCTACCAGCAGCCAGTTAAATCTTACGCTGTATGAGTGTATGTGCATGAACTGGAGGACAACAGAAAGCTAATCTTTCCCATTGCACTTTTGTAAAGTGGAGAGCATTACCTGACCAGATCGAGGAAAGAGTCCACTGTTTCTTTGGGGACCGGCGGAGGCCCCGACTCCTCCAGCCCCAGGTCGCTGGACTGCAGGGTCTGCGCACCAGACCCTGGCTTGATGATGAACGCTAAGGCGACGGCGAGCGCCGAGGCACTCAAGGTGGTGAGACCAAAGTAGGCGACGGCGATGCCACCCAGACGCCCGAGGGAGCTGGCGTCGAGAGAGGCGGCCCCCGACACCAGGCTGCAGACCACCAGCGGCAGGATGATCATGCGCAGCATGCGGAGCAGCATCTCGCCGGGGAAAGCCAGGTAAGTGACCTGCGTGCGGCTCAGCTTGAATTCGCGCAGCGCCGCGCCCAGGCCCGCGCCCGCCAGCACCCCGGACACGGTGAGCAGCACCATCGCGTGGCGCCGCAGGAAGCCGGCGCAGCGCCGCGCGCGTCCCGCCGCGGTCCCCGGTGCGCCGGGTCCCCCTGCAGGCCCCGCCTGGACGCCGTCGAGGTAGCCGTTGGTCTCGCTGCTCTTCTCCATGGCGCTGCCCAGCGCTGCAAGCAGCAGGAGGTCGGAGACTTGGGCTCTGAGACAGACAGGTTCCCGGTGAACAGATCTGGTGGAGCTAACGATGTCTCCCAGCTACGCCCCGCAGGTTCGGGGAGCCGGTCCCCGGGGGTCTTCTGGACAGTGCGAGAAGGGTGCGGAGAGGCGTGACTGGTGGGTCCCAGGCCAGGGCACAATGGTCCGCGCTGCAGCCAGCCTTCTCTGCCACAGGCTGCTGAGATGATGCAACCCGGTAGCCGCGCGGGAGGACTCAGGGAAGGTGGGCGTGGGCCGGAAGCGCCTGAATCCGCACCGCCCGCCCGCCCGCCGCCACGCCCCTAACGGCGCCGACCAATCACAGGGCAGGAGCCGCCGCCGCGCGCGCCCCCCCTCGCCCCGCCCCTCGTCCCGCTCGGGTGGGGGAGCGGCGGGTCGGGGGGTCTGTCCCACCGGCGGGCGGGGAGGCGTGGGCCAATCCCGGTGCCAGCAGCCGCCGTGGGCCGCGCCGGCGCTACCCGACTCCAGTCGACCGCGGGGGCGCGGCTGGAGCGGACCGCCGGGCTTGCTGGCACCTGCCGGCGTCTGGCAGGACGAGCCGGGCTGTGGACGTTCGGGATCTCTGGGCCTGGAGAACGTGGAACGCCGCGGCGTTCTTTGTCTGGCGGGGCTGGGGAGGGCGCGGGGTTCTCCTCGTGGCCCGCGTCCCCCCACCGGAGAGTTCTCTGGCGAGGGGACTCCGGGACAGTCCTCCCTTCGCGTCCTCCTGCGCGAAATCCTTCCCTCCAGAGGCCTTGCGGGGTTTCCGTCGGCAGAGCGCGCGTGCTGCCTTCCCTGCGCAGGCCGCGGCCGGGAGACAAAGAAGGGTGTGCGTGTGGATGGTGGGCGAGGGACGGGCGCGAAGTCGCGCACCCTCGGCGACGCTCTAGAAAAGCTTTCGCGCAACTGAAGGGGCCTCGCGGGGGCGCCTAGCCCCGTGCTGCGGTTGCGCACTGCGCCCGCCAGGGTGCTCGGGCTGGTGCCCTGGGCCGCGGCGCTGGCTGCAGTACGCGGGCTGCACATGCAAAACTCCTGAAAGAAACGCAGGTCTCACGCCACCGTTGCGTTTGCGTCTCTGCCACGTAACCTTAGCTGAAACCCAAGCCACCGGATTTTAACCTCTTCATCTCCCCGTGCCAGTCCTTGTGCAAACACAGCTCGGGCAAGGTTTGGCCAGCCTGGGAAGTGTTTCCTTATTCTTCATGTTTCATTGATTTCAATTTCATCTTTTATTTAATATCTGTTCTAGCCGTAGAAGACATAGAGGAAACACCTCTGCAGAGTCGTTTTACTGTGCTAACTTTATTTGTATATTTTATCTTTCCGCTTTTGCATTCTCATTCTGCTGTTGTAAGCCTCCTCACGTGTAGCTAACCTAAATTAAGGAGAAAGGCATTTTATTATTGATTATTTGCGGAACAGCTGCCATCGTAAAACGTGTCATGACAGATACTTGTGCAAATCAAGATGCCTTCGTAAGGAACTTCCGAAACTGTCCAGATTTTGAGACAAGGCGTTCTTTGCTTACAGCCAGTCAGCTGTTGGCTAGAACTTGTAAGGGTTTTGGGTGGGAAGGAGGCGAATGCCTTGAGTGAAGAGCTGTACATATTTTTTATCTGGCTTCTCAGGATGCAGATTATGTCCGTGTGCACGGAAGAAAGGGCAGTTCCCGCACACGCTGTTTTCCCATCAGCCCCCGCGTTTGTTTTGACTGCCCCTTTTATGCAAAAAGTATCAAACTGTCCTCCAGAACTGACTTTCCAGCTGCCTGCTTTACATCTGCTTTACAGTTGGATATCCCTGCAGGCATCTTAACTCAGCAGATGCAAAACCGAATGTATGGTTGCTTCCCTCAAGCCTGCTCAGCCATCTGACCCCCCTCCCCCCATTTCTGCTAGCAACATCATTGGTGACCCCGGCACCTCTGTGAAATTTCAGTGACCTTTGATTCTTCCCTCGGGTGTCTTCTCATTTGATCAGTTGCCAAGTCCCATAGACACGGCTTTCATAATAGTTAGCACATCCAGCCAGCCCACCCGTTTGCACTGCTACACTCTGGCTCAGTTCATATTTCCTTACATTTTCTCTGTTACCTAAACTTACCTGGTTTATTATCTAAACTCCCAAACGCTGGGATTACAGGCCTGGGCCACCGCACCCGGCGTTAGGAAATGTAATGCACAGGCACACCCAATTAAAAACCAGAGCCGATGTTCCTAGAGCATAAAAAATGATATTGGAGGACAATTCTTGTTCAAAAGCTTTTGCTGAGTCCCACAGATTTTTGTTTTTTGGTACTGGGACTTGAACTCAGGACCTTGCGTTTGCCAGGCAGGCGCTTGCACGGCTGAGCCATATCCCCAGCCTTAAGTCCCACACATTTAAGAATGTATCCCTCACCCTATGTCAGGCATGGTGGTGCACGCCTATAATCCCAGCACTCCAAAGGCTGAGGTAGGAGAATCACTTGGAGTTTGAGGTCAGCCTGGGCTACACAGTGAGTTCAAGGGCAGCCTGCACTACATAGTGAGACTCTGTCTCAAAACAAACAAAAAAGTAAGACCTGAAACTGTAAAACTAGGAGAAGAAAATGGGGGAAAGATCATTGACATTGATTTGGGCAGTGATTTTCTGGATGTGCCTCAAAAGGACAGGCCAAAAAAAAAAAAAAAAGCAAAAATAGACAAATGAGATTACTTCAAACTAAACAGCTACTAAACAGCTATACCAAAACAGTCAAGAGTGCAGAACAACCTATAGAGTGGGAGGCTATATTTACAAACTGTTTGCTCCTCTGGTTTTAGAGATTGGCTAAACTATTTTAGTTGATGTTTCTTCTTAGAAAAGACTGATCAAATAGGGCCATCTAAAGAGATGAATTAAGCCATGGGAACGCAAAGTAGTTTGGTATCTGGTTCCACGGACAGTGTTTTCTATGAATAAAGTGTAATTCAACAGTACAACCAGATGTTTACAGGGTTGCTTAGAAAGAGCAACTGCTTTACAAGGCTCATAGTGTTAACACAGATAAAGGATTTCGAAAACTTTATAGACTTGGATAATGAGAGAGTGAAAAGAATTGAGATGAGTTATCTGTAAGTACCAACTCCTCACAATGAATATAATCAGTTACTGCAAATATGTACTAATAATTTTTTTAAAAAATGAAAGAAAAGAAATGAAAAAAGGGTATGAATTATGTGAGTCACTGGTTAAAAATGCCTATTTTGGGGCCTGGAGCAGTGACTGGGAACCTACATGTCAATAAGCCAATCCTTCTGTCCTCTTTACCCCAATGTTCAATCAAGAAAGATTTATAAGACCGCTGATCTAATAGAATGGAGAGTGAAAAAGAGGTTAAAGGTAAGGTCCAAGGCTATCTCTGCAAAGCGTGGTAATCAAGTCCTCCTTTCTAAGTGCCGTGCTAAGAGGAGACAAGTGGGTGAGACTGGAAGGAGAGGTAGTGTGCAGGAGAAATGGATATTAGAATGAGTAACAGATCTCACAGAAGTTTATTTTGTTGGGCCTAAGAAAAAGAAAAAAAAGTGGGGCCAGGGATTTAGCTCACTGGCTCAGTGCCTGGCAAGTGTGGTGAGGTTCTGAGTTCAATTCCCAATACCAGAGGAAAGAGAAGGAGAAGGAGGTACTCCACCTTAGAAATGTTTTATAACTCTGAAATAAGACCTAAACATTTATATATTTTTAATTCTTCCAGTTAATAGTTTAATGAGATAAAACATCCAAGTGCAGTGGAATCTGGACTGAAAGAAAGCTAATGCATAATTGTGAGAAAATTAGGAACTCTATGTACTATATGTTGCATTTAATGCGGAGTTTTTAAGATAAGGCAGTGGTGTTCTGAAGAGTAGAATAACGGCTTTATTTATTTATTTATTTATGAGTACTGGGTATCGAACCAATTGTCCATGTTAGGCAAACACTTTATACTAAGCTACATTCCCAACCAGCCTACTTTTTAAAAAATTTTATTTTGAAACTGAGTTTTGCTAACTTTCCCAGGGTAACCTTGAACTTGCAATCCTGCTTCACCTCCTGAGTAGATGTGATTACAGGAATGCACCGTGGTGCCTGGTTAATGGCCTCATTCTTGAGACCATAGTGAAGCATTGAGGGGTCAAGTGTCACGGCGTCTGCACGCCACTCTCGGGGGCCTTGGCAAGGGAGGGATACGTGTCGGTATACAGAGCGTGCTGTGGTGACAGATCCAAGATGTCAATAGCCTGTGAAACTAGATGAGTATGTGGTGGTTCATTATTTTGTTCTGGAAGCTTTTCTGGGGATTAAACATTTTCAAAATTATAAAACAAAATTTTGTTTAAAATGGTGGGGCAAAAGCCTTTATATTTGATTTTGTGCCACTGCAGAGCTGAATATGCTTAGCAGAGAAATGCGCCTTATAGAGGGTTGCAGAAAGGCCAACTCACCATGATTCTCCACTTTCTGCGAGGTCACGCATGACAAATGATGCCTGTACATGGTGCCCACAGTCACAGGTGGGCCCAGGAGTCGATGTAATTCCTGGCTACTGATGTGGAACACAACAGATTCTGTTCCTTCTTAAGGAAGACTGCTGGTCTGCAGGTAACTGATACTGTCCAAGGGATAACTATGAACCCACATGAATTTATTTTAAAAATAATTATGTCCTCATTTTCTGTGCTTTTGTGTGGAAGGGATTGGAAGATCTAGTAAGATCTAGTAAGTCTTTCTGATGCACCCATAAAATGTAAATCCTTTGCTGTCTGTAACTGATCTAATCTTTGTCACAGGCAGTCGGGCCTTGGGTCACTGCGGGGAGAGAAAAGTGGCTTTAATTCACCAGTGACTATAACAGAAGTCTTTCCAAGTTTAAATAGTGGATAACTGAAAGTATTTTGGTAAAACTCAGCTTTGGTAAATTTCAGACTTCCTCACTACTCAAAAGTGATGGTACAGTGATATGATTATAGAAAATTGCAAAGGTGGTTGTAAGTTTTTAAAAATTGAGAAAGAGTGGGGCTTCATGTAAAAAAGAAATGCACAAGCGCTATGCTAGGTTATAGAAAGCTTCTAGTTCTTCACCATTCTGTGTCCTGACCCTTTGTCAAGTTACTTTTTAGGGTCTTCCAGCTCTGAACCTGGGCTCAGCCACGTGATTTTCTGTGGCCATGTTGAAGCTGACCTGAGTCAAGTAGAGGTTTGCAATGAGCCTACACATTAGGCCTGTCCCGCGTGCCTGTGCC